AGGAATAGAACTAGCCCCGGGAAGTAAAATATTTACACTCAGATGTAAAAACTTATATGTTTTAACAACAAAACATAAAATAACAGACAAAAAATAAAATAAAAATAATAAAAATAAGAAGATCCTTTTAGAAAGAATAAGTCACAGTCATAGATATAAATGATTATAGTTATAATGACATTGATATAGAAGAAGACTTAGAAATAGTAAAAGAAAGATTAAGCACATCAAAAAGAATAAACTGTGAAATATCACAAATATTATCAAAAATGAGTACCTCAAGAAGAATAGATAAAACTCCACAAAAATCAATGGAAGATGAAATAAAACCACATCATTATTACATAACGGGAATAATGGAACAACGAAAATATTTAATATTAATAGATACAGGACGAGAAGAAAACTATATTACAAGAGAATTAGTAACGGTAAAAGAAATAATAACTACGGAACAATCGTGCCCCGAACTACCAAAAGCATTAAATGTATACCGAAGAAACTACAGAAAAAGGAAATAATCATTGGAGGAGTACCAATAGTAATAAAATTTAAAATATATCAAGGAAATGAAAAATATCATTTTTAGGAATAAAATGGCTAGAACAAGTAAAACCATATAATCTAGAAGACAAACAATTGACAATAAATTATGAAAATAAAAGAGTAGTAATAAAAAGAACTTTAGTAGGATAAAAATATGAAAATATATATACTTGCTAAGATAATAATAGAGGGATATTACAACAGATATTATACACCAATGATAGATACGGGAGTAGAAACTAATATATGTAAGTACAATTGTTTACCAGAAGGTAAATGGGAAAAACTAAAAACACCGATAGTAGTAACAAGATTTAATAATGAAGGAAGCATGATCACATATAAGGCAAAAAATATAAAAATACAAATATGGGATAAGATATTAACTATAGAGGAAATATATAATTTTAGAATTAACTACAAAAGAATATGCTATTAGGAATGTCATTTTTAGTAAAATTATACCCACATATAATAACAAAAACACATTGGTGGTTCACAACACCATGTAAAACAAAAAATAGGAGCAAAAAGAGTAAATAACAAAAAACGAAAAACAACAGAATGGATAAAAGGAAGTGAAAAAATTACGCAAAAGTTAGAAAATATAAAAGAAGAAAACCTTATAATAGAATTAATTATATTCTCTATAGATAAAGTAAAAATAATCCAAGATAAGTTAGAATTATTATATAGTGAAGACCCTTTACAGGGATGGGAAAAACATAAAACAAAAATAAAATTGAGCTAATTGATAATAATAGTATAATAACCCAAAAACCATTTAAAATATAATTTTTAATGATTTGACAGAATTTAAAATACATATAACTGAATTACTAGAAAAAAGATATATACAAGAAAGCAATAGTAAACACACAAGCCCGGCATTTTATCGTAAATAAACATAGTGAACAAAAAAGAGGAAAAAGCAGAATGGTTATTGATTATAGAAATTTAAATGCAAAAACTAAAACATATAATTATCCGATACCAAATAAAATACTAAAGATACGACAAATACAAGGATATAATTATTTTAGCAAATTTGATTGTAAATCAGGATTTTATCACTTAAAGAAGAATCTAAAAAACTAACATCATTCACTGTACCACAAGAATTTTATGAATTTAATGTATTACCATTTGAATATAAACACGCACCAGGTAGATACCAACACTTTTTGGACAATTATTTTAAACAAATAGAAAATTGTGTAGTGTACATAGATGATATATTATTATATTCCAAATCACAAGATGAACATATAAATTTATTAGAAAAATTTATACATATCATAGAATATTCAGGTATAAGTCTAAGTAAAAAGAAAGCGGATATAATGAAAAATCAAATAGAATTCCTAGGAATACAAATAGATAAAAACGGAATAAAAATGCAAACACATATAGTACAAAAAATAATTAACTCAAATGAACAACTAGACACAAAAAAGAAATTACAATCATTCTTAGGACTAGTAAATCAAGTAAGAGAATACATACCAAAATTAGCAGAGAATTTAAAACCATTACAACAAAAATTAAAGAAAGATATAGAATATCAGTTTGATAAAAAAGACCAAATACAAATACAAAAGGTAAAATTATTATGTAAAAACTTACCTAAACTATACTTTCCAGATGAAAACAAAAAATTTACTTATATAATAGAATCAGATGCGAGTGAAAAAAGTTATGGAGGAATATTAAAATACAGGTATGATGACACTACGATAGAACATCATTGCAGGTATTATTCAGGAACATTTAATAATACAGAAATAAAATGGGAAATAAATAGAAAAGAATTATATTCAGTATATAAGTGTTTATTATCATTTGAACCATATATTGTATATAACAAATTTATTATAAGAACAGATAATACACAAGTAAAATGGTGGCTAACAAGAAAAATACAAGATTCGGTAACAACAAAAGAAATAAGGAGATTGGTATTAAATATATTAAATTTCACATTTACAATTGAAGTAATAAAAACTGATAAGAATGTTATTGCAGATTACTTATCAAGACAAAGCTACTCAGACTGAGAACGAAAATACAATGGAAGAAATACTCAAAGCCATAACTACACTTTGTATAAAAGTGGACAGTATGGACAACGAAATACAAAAGCTAAGGACTAATGAAGATAATCTGAAGTCTAAAGCTAGTCAGCAGCATGACTATAAAAATGCGGAGCTACGTCGACCGGAAGACGGAAAAAACCCAGAGCTAAAAGGAGACGATGGGAAACTCCTTAAAACCCATAACATTTGTTTAAATACAGCTGCAGGTACGAGCAAACAAGTTAGCGATAAACAACATAAAAATGCTAACTTAAACCAGATATTCGAAAAACCATTTACCCAGAGGACACCTAGACATATGTCCCTAGAACCACAAACATCTACATACGCAGATAGTTTGCAAAACCAAAATGAGAAAAAGACATATAACTACATCACACGAACCTATATCGAAAATATACACAAAATCCAAACTTATTTAAACCGCAACCCCATATCAATTACAAAAGAACCAAACCAAGATTATTTGACACAAAAATTACAAGGATATAACAAGTTAATTGCACGACCAAAAACTAACGCTAATTTA